CTCCACGCCCTTCAGCGACAGGACGGCCCGCTTCCCTGGTTTTTGCCCGCCTTCGCCTCTCCAGGCCCGGCGGGCGCTCTGGACGCCTACCAGGCCGAACTCCGGGGCCCTGGCGCCTGGCCAGGTCGTGCAGCTGGGCCTGGGCTTTAATCTAGCGCCCTAAGGGCCCTGGGCGCGTGAGAACTTTTGCCCCCGTCCCTCCTTTTCCCTCCCACCGGACTGCACGAGCCCTCCCTTCCCAGCGGCTCCCAGGAGCAGCGCCAACCCTGCAGTGGTCCTTGCTCAAGTGGCCTTAGCAAGAACTCGGCTCCAAGAGAAGGAACTTCCAAGTGACAGCCTTGGGAGGCCAAGGGCTACTTGGCTGATGAGAACAGCTCTGGGGCAGCGGCGCTGGGCCCTCGGAAGACCCCTCCCCCAATCCTTTCCTTTCCAGAACCAGCTTTTCCAGCTCGGCAGCAGCATAGTCAGGTTTCAGGCGGGTGTGGATTGTTTTCAACCCCTGGGGCTTGGGTGGGAAGCGTAAAGACGGGGAAGCTGGTTGCCCACATAGTTAGTGTTCAGCAGCCCCCCTCTTTGGAGGCACCCCAGGGACCCTCACAGCTGAAGTAAACACAGAAACCAAGCCCCATCTTAACAAACAAAAAAAAGCACTTGATGCTGGGGCACTCAAGTGAGGGTTTCCGGACGGATCCCAGGGAGAAGCTATGAACTAGTACTGCAAGGGTTGGCTGGTGCTCTTGGTGGGCGGCAAACAGCACGAAAGGGTCTTGGGACAGAGAAGGGCGTGGCTTCTTCCCGGGGTGAGCAAACTGGTGGGAGAGTTGCGAGACGCATCTCAGACTTTGTTTTAGCTGGGGAGGTCCCCGACTCTGTCCCACAGGGTGACCCCCACCTGCAGAGAGAAACACCTGATCCCAGCGCCCTCAGAGCTCACGGCCAGACGGGAGACAGAGGGGTGGATGATTAAAATATGGTGGGGCCAGAGCTAGGGAAGAAGCCTGGGCCAGGGAGGCAAGCCAGAGAAGGTGACATGGGGACCGAGAAGGAGCTCCCCGTACAGGCGGGGGTGTGGGTCAGCTGGGCAGGCTCAGGAGGCTGCAGATCCCGGAGGCCCCGGACTCGGTAGAAAGCTGGAGATGCCGTTAAAATAAAGGTGAGGTTCCCTCAGAGCCTTGGGCCGCCCTTCACTCTAAAGATGGAGAAACTGGGGACCTGAGAAGTGGACCGAGGTCACCCAGCTGGCTGGAGTTGGGGCTGGGCCCGGGCACCCAGTCAGTAATAAGCCGACGGGACTGTGAGGACTCTTCAGTGTCCCCTGCCTTCCATTATGGTGAGAAAGACAAGAGTTTAGTAGACAAAAATGTGAGCGTAATTTGAGCTGTTGCTAAGTGGTATGATTGTGAGTGACTGGGGGCTACTGAGAGAGGACGATTAACAAGGGCCTCTCTGAGCAGGGGACAGAGTACTGGCCAGGCCGCAGGAATGGCCTGTGCAAAGGCCCTGGGGCAGGAACATACCTGGTGTGAGAGAGGAGCAGAGACGCAGCCTGAGGGGCTGGAGCAAAGGGTGTGGGGCGGGCCTGCAGCCTTTGGAGAGGAGTTTGGGCTGGATCTCAGGCGAGTGCCTCCTGTGTGATGGGTGTGGAGAGGGCAGCGACAGCTGTTGTGGGTGGTGGGAGAATCCATGCCCTGACCACAGTGGGCCAGAGAAGAAGCTCCAGGGTGAGGAGTGGGCTCAACATCTCTGTCCCCCTGACTCCTTCGGCCACAGCATTTTCTAGGAGCCCCACGACCAGGAGGGAGGGTTACAGCCATCCCCCCGCAAGCAGGGCGCTGCTTCCGCTCGCTTTCCCAGTGACTCCTAAACCCTGTGGTGTGTCCTCTGGATCTCCCTGGTTTGCTGCTGCCGGAGGAGCGTCATCACCATCCTCACTGTTGGAAGCATCGTGGTGGGTAATATTTTTTGCTCACTTGCTATATGCCAGGTGCGGGGCCCGGCCGTTTATGTGTGGCTACGAACTCAGTGCCCATTCCACAGATGAGAAGACCAAGCTAGGCAAAGGCATCCAGCTTAGAGTGCATGCTTGATGTGCTCAGAGTAGGATTCGAGCTCAGAGAAATGTCCTGCTGGCGAAGCCAGGAGGGTGGGGCCAGACTCGAAGGATGCAAAAAAGCGAAAAGGTAGCTTGTGGGCAGGTCAAGGAGAAAGAGCAAATGTGAGAGAAAGATACATCGAGTCCTCCAACCTTGTGCAAGAAGTAGTGTGCATGGCTGGCACAGGTGTGCACACACGTGCATGTACACAGGTTAATACACACATGTACACACTGGCATATAAAAATGCATGCACGCATGCAGCGCCCAAGTCCATGCACACACGTAAGCACTGTATGCATTGCGCAGACATACACACCACCATGTACTCATGCATTTGTGCACACATGCGCATGAATGCGCCACACGCACCTGTGCGCACACGTGTGCACACATAAGTACACCTCAGTGCACGTGCACACGGACACAAATACAGTAATGCTCAAAGAACTTCAAAACACATCATCCGCACATTCCTCTCCTTAGCAGTTCTCATGGTTCATTCATTCATGCAACAAACATATGTTGAGCCCTTTTTGGTGCCCGGCCAGGGGGTGGGCACTGCACACGCAGCCAAGAGGACCCGCAGTCCCCGCTCGACTTCCTGGGAGCTCACAGCCTGGGCTGAGAGAAGACAGACAGTAAACAGTGGACTAAAATCTTTAAGGACATTTGTCACTGAGGCCCTGGAGGAGCTGTGGGGATCTGGAGAGCTGGTCTGGGGGGCCTTCCCAGAGAAGGTGTGTTTCCACGAGTGAGGGGACCGAGGTCTGGTCAAATGACAATCAGATCAGGAAGGAAGAGGCTAATGTGATGGATAGTAGAGGCTCAGACAGGCCTGAAGGTCATGGGTGCGGTGTCTGCCGACCCAGCCAGCCAGATCTCGGGCCCAGGAGTGCCCACCCACTGACTCCCCCTCCCCATTGTGAGTTCCCGAGGGTGGGGTCTCCTCTCTGTGCCCCTCCTCCCAGCCTGCAGCATAAGTGAATGCCTAGTCCCTTAAACAGGATTCTGGTCTGCAGTCGGGGAAGGAAGGGAGAGCTTGGGAGGGGCCACAGGCGATGCCCTGTGTCTCCCCTTCTCCTCTGCCCCCTCCCCCCTTCTCCCTCTTTCTTCTCCCCGTTTTCCCCTCCTCCTTCACCTACTCTCTCATCCCTTCTCCCCCTCTCTCCCTCCTTCCTGTTATCCTTCCTTCTTCCTTCCCTCCCTCCCTTCCCCCTTCTCCTTCAGCTCACACACAGCCCTCAGTACCCCTATCTGGGCGATGGGTGGGTGGGTGCCAGCAGTGTCCTCACAGAGCTGTGAGGTGAGGTGATGGGAGACTGCTTCACAGAGGGGGTTTGGGCCACTCCCCATTCCTCCAGGCAAGATGGGGGAGGATGAGGAGCCTTGTGCCCGGCATGTGGCAACAGCATCCCCCACCCTGCACCTCTTATGTCCCCAATCTCACCCCACACACGGGCTCCCCCATGTATGCCCTCACACCACACCCACGCTCCCCGTTCCACACATACACATCCATTCCACACCTACCCTCTACCACACCACAGACCACACACACACACACACACACACACACGCACGCACGCGCGCGCGACCACTTGGCAGCCCAGCCAGTCTCACCCACCCCACAGCTGACCTCCCCCTCAGTCCAGGGCAGGGCAGCGACAAGCAGAGTGCCCCGTGGACCCCCCCCCCCGACCCTGGCTATAGGGCTCTGCTCATTGATCCAAAGATGCTCTTTCCTTTGCCTCAGGCACTTCTCTGAAGGATGGAAAAATCGATGCGCAGAAGAGCGGGCGCAGGGAAGGTACAGACAGCGCTGGGAGGAGAGCAAGGGCAGGGGAGTCAGGCGCGTGGCGGGGGCGGGGTGGCCGGCTCCACCCCCCAGAGCAAACTCCGCGTGGGCGTGGGCAGCACAGGCCCGTGAAGTGGTTTTGGTGTTTCTGTATTACGATTACAAAAGCGCGTTCCTCGTAGACGAGGAAAATCACCGCATCCAGTTCCAGAGGCAACCTCGCCATCAGCGAGCATAGCAAATCCTTCCAGCCTGTTTTCTCTGCGCGGTGAATGCACTTTTTAGTTTTGCAAAATGAGGACGAGCTCGACTGCTTTATTCATCTAACAGTCTGTCACCAACATCCTCCTGTCCTTCCCTGGTGCGACATCACTGTACCTGAGTTGGGGGAGGGGGGCGTGCACGGCACAGGGCTTGGGGTCAGACTCCTGGCCCCTTGGCTGTGTGACCTCGGGCAGGTGGCCCACACACTCTCTGGGCCGGCCCATCCTCCGGTGCCTGCCTTACAGCCCCGTGGTGAGAATGACCCCAGAACAGAAGCAGAGCGCGTTCATCCCAGGCGGAGCCCGTCGTAAGCATTCCTTCAACTGCGGGGACGCTATTCTCTGTCTTTGTCATTGTCCCGGGAAACCAGCATTATTTAGCCAAGCCTCGGTTATTGAACATGGAGGTTTTTTCCTTCGTTTCCCTGAAAGAAGGCTTCAATGAACATCCTTGAAATCTCTGCCAAGTGCTCAACCATTCATTTTGAGTAATTTCTGGGAGGAAAGTCATGCGTGCTAGAGAAGGTGCTCACGTTTTCTACATACTGCCTGACCGCCCTCTGGAAGTGTTCTGATGACATGAGTCTCCTCGGGGCTGCGTAACACGGCACCCCAAACTTGGTGGCTTCAAATAACAGAATTATATTCTTTCACAGTCCTGGAGGCTAGAAATGCAAAACCAGGGTGCGGCAGGGCCGTGCTCCCCCGACGATGCCAGGTTAGGATCCTTCCTGCGTTTTCCAGCTTCCGTTGGCTGCCCACGTTCCTCGATCCTTGACGCCATCACTCCGTTCTCCGCCCCTGTGGTCACCGTGTCTCCTTCTCTGTCTGTCTTCCGCCCTGTGCGTCTCTTACAAGGATACTATCCTGTACTCCAGGATGACCTCCTCAGCTCAAGATTTTTAATTTAATTATATTGCCAGAGACCCTCTTTCCAAATAAGGTCGGATTCACTGGTTCTGAGAATTAGGACATGGCTCTGTCTTCTGAGGATTCACCCTACAACACATTCCTACGGAGAAAGGAGGGCGATGTAGAATCCCTTTTCCCTCGCCGCACAGGATACTCTCATCTTTTAAAAAAAATGTTTAGCCAAGTTATTCGGGTAAAAAGGACATCTCGTTTTAATGTGCATTTCTTTTTCTGTTCGAGGAATTTATTTCCATATGCTTCGCAGTCATTCGTATTTCTTATTTTCTTACCGATTCGTGTCCTTTGCCCAATTCCCTATTAGGTATTATCTTCTCGAGGAGCGAGAGCTCTTTGTAGATGAAGGATGTTGACCTTTTATGATATCTTGTAAATATCTTCCTAATCGCACACTTGCTTTTTAGATTTTTTTCATATTTCTTTAACACACATAACTTTTCAACTCTTTCGTACTCAAAGCCTCGAGAGGAATTTACCACCAGCTGAATAATTAAACAGGCTTTTCCCGCTCACATTATTTTTCATCTAGCCTCTTACTGTTTCACTTTTATGCTTAAGTGTTTGTTCCGTCTGCAATTTATTTTAGTTACGGTGTATTTTAAGGCTAATTACCTCCTTTCCAGTAATCGAGCAGTTGTCTTAATATCATTGAATCAATAGTCCATATTTTCCCTACTGATTTTAAATGATTCCTTTATAATCTATTTAATTCGACTCCAGTAACCTAGCAGACCGAGCTAATGGTGACACTCCACCCCCGCCCCCATCCTGCTGAGGGATGTCAAGAAAATTTAAGAAAAACAAAAATACTCAGTCTTAAAAAAAAAGAACAGGAAACTCCCAGATGCCGGAGGTTGGGAGGAGAAAACAAGAACCAGAAGCTTTTCCATAACGGAGGACCCAACAAGAGGGCAAAGTCGTCAGTGAGGAGGCCCTCACAGGATGAAATGATCTACCACAGGAAGAGGATTCAACCACCAAGAAACTAAGCTAATAGCACAGTCCAGAAGAGACTGTAAAACAAATGTACTTTAAGTTATTAAAAGATAAAAAAAAAGAAACCATAAGAAAAAATTTAAAAACACCATGTAAAAATTTTAAAACACCATGAAAAAAGAAGCAGCAGATTTGTAGAAAAATGAAGATCTTCTCAAAAATGAAAAACGCAGTCATTGAAATTCAGATTTCATTGAGTGGGTTGAATATCACATTAGACACAGCTGAAGAAATATTCATGAACTGGAAGATAGAACTGAGGAAGTTACCTAGAATGCAGCCTGCAAAGAGAAAGAAATAGAATGAAAGTAGAAACAAATAAAATTCAGTGAAAAAGTCCAAACATAGGTCTTAGAGAAGACCTGGAAGGAGGTAGATTATGAAGAGAGTGGAGGAGAGATCATATTCAACATGGTAATGTCTTAGAATATTCTAAAATATTCAAAACAACACTTAGTATTATTATTATCCGCATTTTAAAGACGGGGAAATCAAGGTACAGAAAGTTCGAATAATTTTTATTCTTTCGTGTTACTTAAGTAATTTTTGTTACAATAATGGTGCCTAAAGAATCACTTTGCATAATCGTACCCTTTTGTGATATGATTTTGCTGCTTCTCCCTTCAAGAGGACACGAAGGAGGAGCTGAGTCTATTTCCCTGACCTTGAGTCTGGATTGGCCTTGACACTTGCTTTGACCAATGGAATACAGCAGAGACATTGTTGTGTGGCTTTCAAAACCAGGCCTTAAGAAGCCTTGTAGCCTCCACTTTTGCAATCTTAGATCATGTCCACCATCGTGTCAAGAAGCCCACCGTAGGCTTCCGGTGGAAAGGAACCAAGGTGACCCACCTGACAGCCAGCACCAACTGCCAGGCTTTTGAGTGAGGCTATCCCTGAGCCCTCCACCCCAGCTAAACCCCAGGTGAGAGCAGCCACGTGAGTGACCCTAGGCAAGACCAGCAGAAGAACTGCCCAGCTGAGCTCAGCCCACAGAGCAGAACCATGAGCAGTAGCTAACTGGGCACGAAACGACACAGTGATTAATGGCAGGGCCAGGACCTCAGAACATACACCTTAACCACGATGCCACAATAAAACCCACGGGCAGCAACGAAGGCCAAAAGCAGTGCAATCATAATATCCTCAGGATGATGAAAGAAAATGCCTGACCACCTCAGCTGTCTTTCAGCTAAATCATCTTTCAAGAGCGAGAGCAAAATAAAGACATTTCAGAAGAAGTCTGAGAAGCTGTACTACTCATAGAGCTTTGCGGAAAAACTGACATAGGGATGCCTAAGAAAGAAGGAAATCAAGCTCCGTGTCAAGGATGCAATGAACAATGACCAAAGATATTAAAACATGAGTAAAATCCAAGGGAGAGTTGGCTATAAAAATCAATAATAATAATGACACGTATAGGATCAAAACGATATGGACTAAGATACTAGACAATCCTACATGGTGATTGGAAGATACGATGGGACTTAGATCACCCTATGACCTTTTACTGTCTAGGAGGAGGTTGGAGAATATTTATTTACATTGTATTAAGTCAGTTATGCACGATCAAAATTTAAGGGTAACTTCTAATAGGCAGAAATGGAATACATAACTTTTAAACCAATAGAGGAAAAGAGAAATAAGAACCCACAATCAGACCAATAGAAACCAAAAAGAACAGGAAGGAGGGAAGAAAAGCTTGATTGATTTTTTGTGTTTTTATTTTTGCAGACCTCTCCTATTATTTAATAGTTTTTTATTTGTTGCCCTTGGGTTTTTAATTAAACCATGATATTATCCACACACAAAGATAATATCTCTCTTTTTTAGTTGTTGTTCTTTAATTTATGTTTCTCATCTTATTGCATGACCTAGAACTCTCAGACCATGTAAAATTATAGAGAGAGGCATACTAAGCATCTTTGCCTTAATCTAGACATTGCTGAGAAAACTTTCAGTATGTCACATTAAATATGATGTTGGCACTGGCTTGACATAAATATTCTTTGTCATTGAATTAGTCAGAATAAGCTAGATTATGCTGCAGTAACAAAAAAAAAAAGTCACAATCTCTTGGCTTGAGAGAGGTTTATTTCTTATTCACATGAATTCAGCTATGGGTCCAGCAACTCTCTCTCAATTACAGTTGTGATTGGCCCAGCATGGCACCTCCACGTCACCAAACGCTCCCATGCTTATTGAGGCAAGAGAAATAGAATTGAAGAGTTTAGAGCCATGAAGTGCTTCTACTAGAAATGGCAGACTTTACTTTGACTTGAGTTGAAGTTATGTCACATGCCTGGAAAGAGATCTGGAAAGATTGGCAGGCATTGCAGATGTCACCATAACCATATTAAGGAAATATCCTTCTGTTATTCATTTTAGACTTGGGACCCTGGAAGACCTTAAAAGTTAACTCAAAAAGTCCTTGGGCCTTAGCTGTCTGATGAGAACAGGGAAGAAGGGATTTATGGGCCCCGATGGCCTCTCTCTCCATCAGAGCCAGGCTATGTGTTTCCCTCCTTCATTCCTTGAGGTCTCTGAATCCTTACGAGGAATCTCCTCCCTTTCCTGAGCTCTTTCGAGTAGATTTCTGTTTCTTGTGGCTCAAAGAGTCTCAACCAGAATAATTTGCCTGTGCTTTATTTAGGATTTTTATCACATTTCTAAGCAAGACAGGTGTGTAGTCTTGTGCTACCTGCCAACTCTTTGTTTTTGGGTTATGCTACATTCTTAAGATAGTTGGGGAAGTTTTCCATCTTTCCTGTGTCCTGAAACAGAATATTTGAAAATATTTGAATATTTGCCAGTAAAAGTATCAGGACCAAACGCTTCTCTAGGTGCTATCTCTCCCCCTACCTTTTCAATTTACTCTATAGTAATAGGTTTTTTGGTTTTCTTCTACTTGTTGAATTGGTTTTGGTTATATGTGTTTTCCTATAAAAATATCTGTTTATTCATATTTTCAAATTTATTATCATAAGGCTTTACTTAATATAATTTAATTTAAAAAATTTTATTCCTATTTTTGTGTATTCATTTCTCTCTATTTATTATCTTTGGATCTGCTAGAAGTTTACCTAATTTATTAGACTTTCCAAAACACGAAGTCATACATTTATCTTCTATTTCTATTGTTTTCTCTTCTCTAATTTATTAAATTCTGTTTTTTGTCTTCATTGACTTCCAACCCTTCTTATTTAAGAAACTCACACATGAGCTACGAATTTTCCTCCTTGTAACATTTTAACCACCTTCCCATATGTTTAGATGTGTGATATTTGCAGCGTTATTTTTTTTTTAAATAGTTTGTCATATAGGTTTTACTTAGAGCTTTTTACCAAGTGGTTTTTACTTTTCAAATGGTCGGCTTTTTCATTTAAACTTTTATAATTTCTAGCTTAATTGCACTGTGATCGAAGAATGAGGCTTTCACTATATCTGCTTTGGGGATTATATTGAATTTTTCTTTATGGCCTAGTATATGATCAATTTTCATAAATGTTTGATGGGCTCTGGCAAAGAAACGAGAATCTTTTATTTGTGGGGAACAAAGTTCAATTATTAAATCAACCTTATTAATGATATGATTCTGATCCTACACTCACATGGGGAGCGCACTATTTAAATATGTCAAAGACAGAAGTGGTTAAGTCTCTTTCAGTGTTTTTTTTGTTTGTTTTGTTTTGTTTTTGTCCTTCTATGTCTGTCTAAGTTGTCACTTCCCCTGATTGGGTCTAATGCTGTGTAGGACATAAAAGATCGTGACCATCAAATCTTTATCAGACTTGTCCTCTTTATCAATAAAAATGACCTTCTGCCCCATCTCATAATTTTTGCCTGTGGTTCTTTCTCTAAGTATTATTACCTCTCCTTTCATTTGACATGAATTGCCTCGTGTAACTTTGGCCAATCTTTTATTTTTCACCTTTTCGCGTAACTGGGTTGTAAATTTATTTCTAGTGAGCGTCACGGAGTTGGAGTTCCATCTTAGTTTTCGTTTTATCCCATCTGAGAGTCTTTGGTATTTTACTAAGAAAACATCATACATTTACATTCATTATTAACATTGACCCGAAGGACACCTCATTTCCATGAGAAAGCTGGGCTCAGTCTTCTGTTTATCTTCATAGCTGCTTCCTTTTGTCTTACAGACTCTGAATTTTCGCTTTCGTCTTCTCCAGACTTTGGTTAGTAGATATTTC